CCTCGAGCAAACAGCGGCGACTGAGTCCGATGCTCTGGACAAACTTCATATGGCAATAGCGAGCCTCGATGATCGAATTAGCGCGTTAATGCATGAATGGACGGAGAATCAGTTAGCCTTATCAAACGTAAAGATGGATACTCAGGTAGTTTAGACCAGCAATGACCAAAGCGCTTTTATTGTTAACGATCTTTTTATTTACTACATTTATTAGGGAGCTATTAGCGAATCACAGACGCTTAAAAAGCAGATCAGTGAGCAGAAAATTGCAGAAAAAAACGCAGTTGTGAATGAAAAGAAAAAAAAGATTTTGATAGATAAAGAGAAAGAACTTCTGAAAGGTAAGACGCTTGAATTGCGATAAATAATTTTTAAATAATTCATTCAGAGCTAAATGAAAAGACTGAGCAATCAGCGAAAATTCAGAATAGGGTGCAGAGGTAGTTTCTAAATAGTTTATTCTTGAATTTTTTTTGTCGATAACTCATTTAGCTTACAAGATGAAATCAGAAAAGTAGAAGATCGACTGGTCGGTCCAGTGAAACGACAGCTGGCAGCAACGACAAAAGAAATTACTGATGCCCAGATCAGCCTTAATAATCTCGTGGCATCGAACAAGGCAACCGATAGGTCAGTCAATTGAATTGGTTTTATGTAACGTTTCGATAGAACCCATCGGAAGGTGTTACATTCAGTGCGTGGCCTACGGTTTATGTAAGCGAAATCACGTCACTTCTGCTAGCATATTTAACAAACATGCCGCTCTTCTTGGCGAAGGCCCACTTGCCGATCTCACTAACCCACGCTTCATTCACCCCAAATGAGATCACGTTCACAAACCGATTTGACACTGTTGACAACATAAAAACTCTTCAACAGAAGACCAATTTGTGGTATTACTAGAAACTTATTAGACGAAGACGCTGAACAGAAATGGTTTGACGTGAAGTTCACCATGAAGCTTCATAATCTAGGCGTCAGCCGATGAAGTACGGTACTTAAGTGCAGAGAAATGAGGAACAGTTGCAACAACTACATGCTCACCGCGTTGTCTTGGTATCCGCACGAATTCTGAGCGACAGGCTGGCTGATCCAAAGAATTTCTACTTCTGTTTGCCTCAACTATCGTTCTTTGATAGCTTTGCTCAGATTGTGTGACGCTAGGTCTTTGTTTGATGAAACCGACTAACTGGCAGTCCGCATTTTGTATCGCTGTGTTACTTTTAACTTATTTGCCATCGTTGTAACATTTGGGATGAAAGTTACGTTTCTCTTGTGTCGAAATTCACTGAACAACTTTGCTTTTCACCATAAATTTGTTTTTCTGAATATATAATTTTATGTAAATAGGGAACTACGCAAATCACAGGGCCGTATGAAATCGATGGAAGATGAACTGAAGGAGTGCGAACAGAAAATTGCAGACTTACTCGAACAACTCAAAGATATTGAGGTGGTTGGCAGCCGCATCATGGATTCGGTCAATGCATTGGACGTATGAAGGCCTAATCAGCATCTCTTTTGCTTCCTCTCCTCACTCTTGTTCATTTCAGAAAGAAATCAAAGATTCGAATGAAAAGTTGCAGAAAGAACAAGAAAAGCTCCAAGCTCAAGAAATATCTGAACATGACTTGAAAACTGCCTCGTTTGATAAAAAATCGAAATTAGAGCAGCTAAACGAGTCGCTGCAGAAAGCCGTCCACCAGAAAAAATACTGGAAACGCGAGGTACGTAGGTTTAAGTTAAGAATTTGTTTTGTTCATTTTTATCCCCGCTTTTTGTGCTTCGTTGTTTTTACTTGATTCAGCTTATGCAGGTTGAATAATAATCATCAGCCCTTGTCCATTCACCGCTGATCAACATCAGCAAGGTAAAGTTCCTTATCGCCTGCTGGAACGAGCGAACATTAAACGGAGACGGCAAGCCAGACGACATTATCAGACATGATTAAAATGGTTGCTCTGTCGTTGACCTTGTTACCCCAGATGACGATGACAATAGTGAATCCACTGCTGGTTGATGTCATTTTTAAGACTTTGCCATGCACATCTGATTTCAGCCATTTTCTTCCATCTTGATCCAGTTAACTTTAATTCACCTGACTATCATCGATCTACAGCTGTTGGATTCCAGTTTAGTGTCTATCTGGTCTAGCGATTGTGGTTTGTTCATGCAACGTTTCCTGTCCATGGCAGCTTTTACTTGTTTACTGGGACAATGACATTTCACACTCTTGTTTGTACTCTATCCATTCATTGTCTTTAACCAATCAAGTATATTTGCTTGAACAACCGCTACTAACCGCTACTACTTCCAGTGCAGAAGGGTCCTATCTTAATTGTGAACAGAAATGTGGTAAAGAAAAACACTGATAAATATATACAAGTAGTGATATATTACCGCGCTCAGTTCCTCGTGCTTAATCAATTTACATTCAGCGGTTTCATTACTTGACTGCTGAGGAAGAAACCCTGGCGAGGAACGGTAAAACTGACCATCGATAGATCTTCGTACTCGAGGGAATAGCATTATAAAGACTTTAGAGTTCCAGAATGTTTGGAAATCGCTTTCATGAATTTCATGCACAACGATTGACCCAGACAGTAGGCTGTTTCGATCGTTGTTGTTGCGATTCAATCAATTATTTCTTCGACGATTTGTGCTGATGTGTTAGATCATCTTCGCTCGTTTGATTTGCCTGTAGTCTGTACTCAGTATGCCGAAAAAAATCACTGGGCCGACTTAAGTAAAAAATTGGTACCAGGTACCCGAAGACAAATAGACTGACTGACTTAATATTAGACCGTTGTTTCTTTATCAATAGCTCGACTCCATTTGTCCATTTGCTGCGTCTTGAATTTTAGACAAAATGGGTTCATTTTTGATGGCTGAAATTAGAACCATGTTATGTGCATACTTGATACATGACACTGGATTGACGGTATTAAGCGTATTCAGGTAGAAATTATAAAGCAGTGGCGATATGATAGAACCCTGCAGGACGCTCAAGGTGTTCTGAGCAATATAAGCTTGTACGTGGTACGATCTTCATATCTTTCTCGTTATTCCAAACATATTTCCATGCTGCGTTGCGTAGTGTACATTTTATGAACAACTTCCAGGCTTACAGTTAACATGTCACACCCATAGTTAGAGCGCTGGGAGCACACACTGATAGAAAACTTTCCGTTTCAAGCACATGTGCAGTTTTCCGGATAGGAGCATTTTCGGTCGTACACAACTGTTCAATTTCATTTTTAATTTGCTGCTGACTTTTTATAGTCGATTCACCGATGCCAAATTAGATGACCCAGACAGAACTTGTTTCGACCGAGCTGATTCAAGTCAGAGTCCGTTGACTTCACGGGATCGCCAGGTCACGTATGACCTGAATTTTCTTAGGTTCATTTTCGGTCCTTGTTTAATGCTGGCATTGTTTAGCTCTTCGATTCTTTTATGGTTTTGTGGTGACCTTGAGAAGATGACAGTGTCGTCCGCAAATGGCACTAGTAGTCTTCATTTATGTTCAGCCCTTGATTTTCCCAGTTGAGTGTCTTGATGACCGCTTCTAGGGCTGTTGTGAATAATGTCAATGATATTGTATCACCGTGTCAAACATCATTATCGATTACAAATTTGTTTGTGCTATCTTAAAACTTCACGCCAACAATTGCATTGTTGTAGCCAAATTGTATGCAGGTCGCTTATGGAGACCACTTTAGAGGTCCACGTCTCCATGGTAGTTCAACGCCTACAGTGCAGAGGATGCACTGACCATATCACTAAGCCATAGGGACAGGAATGAACTAGTGGCGTGACGAGAGTAAAATGAATGGTCCTACAGCATAATGATTACTAACTCGAGAGCATTGCAAAAGTTTTCTTACGGTACAACGATATTGCAGGAACAGAGTAAAGTAGAATAATGTAACCGTATTTCCTAACTGATACGCTTGCTACAGAAGCTTATAATGCGCAGTCATATTTGTCTACGAGAAAGATTTTTCGAGTACAAATTTAGACATACTGTATATCATTTTGTCAAAGGGAAAACTGCAGAAATTTTTTTCTTATTGCCTAGCTACCAAACTAATGAAAAAGCCCTCTATAACTGCAGGTTCTGGAAAATAATGACGGTCTTTGAAAATGAATCTGCGTATTTTTTCCCAGTTGCACTTCTTTAATTACAAAGAATTAATCAACTTGTTTAGATCACTTTTGACTGACCTCCTTTGTGGCCATGGTATATTTAATGAAATATAATATACATTTTATGATATCGAATTGCCGTTTTGCATGTGCCCCTTATTCCCTGGCAATGAGTTATATCCGCCATGTATGACTGTTACTGGCAATGTAATGCATCATATTTCGTGAATTCCATTTTATTATGTGGCTTTGTTTTTAGATCTCAGGTCTGAAGCTAAATAATTTGCTAGAGATTGACCCTGACAGTGTTCGAACCGCTGCTAAGCAAAACGCTGATGTGGACACTAGCAGTGACGAAGAATCTGAAACTGTCATAGGACCACTGTTGGATGAAAACATTTTTGAACTTGTTACTCCGTCGACCGACATCCTGTGTAAACTGGACGCTAGCGTATTGCAGACACAAATTAGTAGCGCCGAGAGCCAACTGCGTAATTTGAAGGTGGATCTGACAGTGGTCGACGAATACAAGAAAAAGGTAAGTGTCTGATATTATCGTTCTGTTGAGATTATGAATATCTCTAGAAAGAAAAACACCAACGATTTGCCCAAGATATGCATGACACTGTTTCCATCAGAGATGCTGTCAAAACAAGATACAACGAGTTAAGGAATCAGAGATTAAATGAGTTCAAAACGGGCTTTAACGAAATCGCAATCAAACTGAAAGAAATGTACCGGATGATCACGTTGGGGGGAGATGCTGATTTGGAGCTTGCCGATTCAATGGACCCGTTTTCAGAAGGAATAATTTTCAGGTACGTCGTTACTTCAAAACAAGCACCAGGTTGTTTCCAATAAGTTTTTAGTGTGCGGCCACCAAAGAAGTCGTGGAAGCAGATATCAAACTTATCCGGAGGCGAAAAGACCCTCAGCTCATTAGCGTTGATTTTCGCGTTGCATTCGTACAAGCCAACGCCGCTATATGTAATGGACGAGATCGATGCTGCTCTCGACTTCCGGAACATTTCCATTGTGGCCAATTACATCAAGGTACTACGCTTACAATTGATGTCATAGGCTACATTTTTGCGGAAAAATATTAGATGCTCTCGATTACTGTATCCCCTTTTGGTCAAAGTAAGCTTTTTAACTCGTTTCTAACACTCGTTTCAATTCAATTGATCCCAGACGACTGGTACTTGCAAAAATCTCCTGACTACGTGGTTAGCTGCACAGACATCAAAGAAGAAACAATTTAAGTCTAAAG